CCCTCGGCAAGCTCCACATGCCTGCCCAGCCAGGGGAGGGTGGGGCGGGGGCTTGCCCCCGGTGACTGCCACCGCACCACTGCATCCCATGCTGCTTTCCCAACACCGGCCATGGGCAAGTGGTGCACGGTGTGGTGGCGGTGGTGCAGTGGTGGTGATGGTAGCTGCTGCGTACATCCCTCCCTCCTCTGCAGCTGGGCAGTACGTGTGAGACCCTCAGAGGGGCACCGCTGCCCTCGCCCCCCCGACCCTGCTCCTGGGAGTGGACACAGAGTGATTTGAGGTGGGGGGCGGTGTGTTGCATGGGGTCAGCAGTGCCCCTTGCCCCTCTAGTGCCGTGCCCCAGGTTGCGCTCTTCACTCCACCCCCCTACCCCGCCATTCACCTGCCCGGGCTGAGGGAGGGGAAGTTGTTAGGGAAAGCCCCACCAGGAGTGCCTGCTGGCCAGCAGGCACTGCATGTCTTCCCACAACACATCCTTGCTCCCTCAGCCGCAAGCCAGCTTCACCCCCAGCGGTGGTGGTGTGGTGGCGGCCACCACGTGCGAGCTTCCCCCCAGTCTGGCCAGGTGGCATGTATGTGGCCCACGGAGGGGCACCGCAGCCCTCACCACCCGCATCCTGGGAGCAGGCACAGAGATGCACTTCTCCCCCATTCTCAATCTGCACCCCCAACCCCTTCCTTTCCCCCCATCCCACCACACACACCTACCTGCTGGGGTGCATATGTATGTCTGTGTGTTTGCCTGTGCTTGCGTGTGTGGGGCTGGGGGGCTGTTGTGGGGGGAGTAAGGGGCACTAGTAGGGCCAGGGGAGGCCCATGGGGAGCCTTAAATTTTTATCACAGGTTTTGGATTTTTTATCAGAGTATTTGCAATTTTTTATCAGAGAATTTGTGATTTTTTTTATCAGGGAAAACCAGGATCCCTGGTGACGTGTTAATGTTTTAAAAAACAGAAAGGCGGTGGGGGGTGTTTAAGCAAATTTCTTTAGCCTTCTTGAGTAACCATCTAATTCCATTGTGAGGGTTGGTTTAGGCTAGAAAATATTGGGTGGAACCACTAATAGTATTGTAGTAACCTCTGTTAATCTGATTATGTAAAATGATATATGAAGCATATGAAAAGCGGTTTGGTACCACAGGATGAAAAAGGACAGAAAATGCCCAATGAAAACTATTGGAATAAGCTTTCCGGTAGTACAAAGGCTATTTCTGATGTTTAAAATATCAACCTTAAAACATGAAATAGAAGAAACAGCCATTTGAAGCTGCCCAGAGGTATTAATGAGCAGAAATTAGTCCCATGAAAGTTGATTAATTGTAAAGGTAGATGGGAGGCAATCAGAGGAGCATATTAAATGCAATTTATTGCATACCTTATCAATTTTCCTTAGCGGTTTTACTGCTTTGTATATATTTTACAGGTAATATCAGCGTTCAGTGAGAATGAATGTTTTATAGACCTTTTAACACATTGATACTTATTATCTAATATATATCCACAAAATACAACATGGTCTTAAAATTCTGTTATTTCAACAACTGGCAACAACTGATCAAGAAGAGTGGTGGGTTTCCAGGAGTACCTAACTGAGTTTGGCATCTGTCTCCTCCAGGTGTGATTAAAAAATCTCACCCAGAATCTCCATGTAAGCTTCAATACTAAGGTGGTTGGTTTTTTTGTGCTTGTGTCTCTACAGCATATAGTGATTTGGGGTATTACATTATTAACAAGCTGCACCATGTGGATGAATCTGTGGGAAGTAAAACACGAAGAGCCTTCCTTTATCTTGCTGCCTTCCCTTTTATGGATGCCATGGTGAGTATATGGCTCAGAATTAAGTTTTAACTCACATTTCTTCTCTCTGTGCTGACCTCTGCTTATAGGACCCAGTTACTTGACAGGTATTTGGAGTCTGACTGAAGAAGAACTTGCACCTCTAAGCAATTCCTCTACCTTCATATGAAATAATAGGAGGCTTCACCACTGTTGATGTACCTCTGCCCCCATCTGCTTTCTCCACTAGAACCAATAACTAACTATAAGAAGTAGCGGCATCAATAAACTTATTTTTCAAGGCAAGATTCATTATACCCAATAGGGAAATGAAATCAGAGCTGCATTTCTTATGTGCTAAAAACTGGTGAACAGAGCCCCCACCCTTGGCAGTTAGAACTTTAATGTGACTTCACAGCATCCCAGACATGAAGAAAGGCAGCTTCTCATTACTGACTCCTTTGCTCAGCAGCCACTGTATAATTATTTAAACTGTTCATTCTACCCAGCCCCAGAAAAAAGGAATTAGAAGTTACAGTATGTTCCCTCTGTATTATTGGACTAGATTTGCCTAGATGCATGCATGCTGACTCTGATGGCAAGAAAGTACATCATTAAATGTTTGAATAAAGTTTTACAGAAGAAAAATAGAGCCCTGGAAACTAGAGTTAATATTATCCATGTTAGTAATTTTCAAAACCGTCTGTTCTGTCTTTGGCAGGCTTGGACCCATGCTGGCATTCTCTTGAAACACAAGTACAGTTTCTTGGTGGGATGTGCCTCCATCTCAGATGTCATAGCTCAGGTAATGGCTCATCTTGGCCATAGTTGTCCCTGTTGCACTATGGACTAAGATGTTTTCCCATGCCATGACTCTGTTGCTGATAATCCAAAGCAAATGTATCATTGCTGTGCAGAGGGAGTTAACAGTTCCTCAGCCATGACAAGACCCTTCCTCCGCTCTCAGGGGTGGAGGTGACAAAGTGGAGCATGCTGTACTTGAGCAATTTGTATAGAGGCTCCTTAGTAGTAATTATAAAGGCTGTTCTCAGTTGGTAAGATCAGGTCAGTACCAAAGCAACCCCACGATTAAAGAACCAGGGGTGTTTGAGTTAATGCCATGAATTACCTGCTGCAGGTAGGTTTTATACAGCTCTCTAGCAACTGAGAGTCCAACCATATACATAGCTGAAACATTAATGGATGCCCACCATTCCTAGGTAAGGTACCTTTGTCCTAATATGGAGACTGTAACTTTCTTTTGGGGGTGGAAGAACAGGGTGGTTATTTCTTACTTCATAAAATAGGGCTGAACTACTGAGTGGGACCTGAAGGTACTGCAGAGAAAGTAGCCAGTGCTTTATCCCTCAGTTGTACACATCAACTAACCAGGAGAAACCTAGGACACAATGCATAACATATGCAATTTTACAAGTGCCTACATAATTTGGCGCAGGGGTTTAGGTTGTAGCTGTGTTGGTCTAAGAACATAGACAGGCAAGGTTCCTTGGGTGAATTTGATATCTTTTATTTGACCAACCCAAATAGTTGGAGAAAAATTATTAAGCAAGCTTTCGGGTTCAAAAACCCTTCATCAGGCTGAGGAAGCTGCAGCAGTTGGTGTGTGCTCTTCCTGGATGGAATGAAAAGTAAACAAGCCAGGGGCTGGGCTGGGGAGTCAGTTGCCAGGCAGATTATAATGTATCAAAAATCCAATGTCTATGTTTAGTCCATGATCTCTAGTATCCAGGAGGCTGACGAAATAGAGCTCATAGGCTCGTCTCTGGGAAGTGTTGTGTAAGTTTCCCTTGAGGATCAGGACTGAGAGATTGGAGAGAGAGTGGCCCTCCTGTGAGAAATGTGCCCCACCGATAATTGGGTATTTCTGTCTTTGATAGATTTCCGGTGTGGAAATCAAATCTATCAAAAATATGTGTACATATTTTCCATCAGGGCATTTGGTGCATTGGATGAGGTATATTACATTGCTGGAGGTGCAGCTGTAAGATCCAGGAATGCTGATGGCTCTGTTGTGGGGTGTAGTAATAGTGGGGGTGGTGAAGATCTGTTGGCAGGTTTTGCATTTAAAGCTTGCTTAATAACTTTTCTCCAACTATTTGGGTTGGTCTAATAAAAGATATCAAATTCACCCAAGGAACCTTGTCTACATAACTTGGCAATATTCTTGCTCCAATGTTCCCTCTAAGAAGTAGCGATCCATGAGCGTGCTGCTTCGGTCCGTGAGCACGCTGCTTCGGTCCCGCCTCCCCTTTCAGCGCAGTCTGCCAGTAAGTGTCCAGGTGGGAGCGGGCAGGGTTCAGCCCTATGTGGAGCACTGTGGACCCCACCCACCACCCTTCTCCATGCTAACTGCTGCCCAGAACAGCACAATGGAGTGCTGTGGGGCAGCCATGGGCTGGACACAATCAGTTGGTAGAATTGATGCTGTGGCTCAGCCATGATCTGAACACAATCGATTAATAGAACTGGAAGGGAGGCACTGGGGCTGGTGCGGGACACTTACCGAAGGAAAAGCTCCTCCTCACGTGGGGCAGGCAGCGGGGACGGGGGCTGGCGCGGGCTCTGTTGGCTCTGGGGAATTGCTCTGCTTCCCAGCTCTGATGCCATATGCCTCCTCGCTCCCTGAGGCGATGCAGGGGTGTGGAGCAGTTCCCCGAAGCCGGTGGAGCCCAAGCCAGCCCCCGCCTCGCCTCGCCCCGCATGTGGAGTGAGGAGCTTACCTTCGGTAAGTGTTCCATGCCAGCCCTGGTGCCTCCACCGCACTCTGCGCCCAGCTCCTCTCTGGGAAGCCGCAGCCCAGCTCCTCTCCAGGCAGGTGCATGACATTAAAAAGTTACTTCACAGCAAGATTTTTAATTGTGCATGGCCGTGCACACGTGCAGCTTAGAGGGAACCTTGCTTGCTACTGGCCCAGAAAAATCACATGCTCAAAACTACAGCCAAAATGTACCTTGTGTCCTACGCACCTTGGTGCTTTTATGTATTTTTTGAAAGGATCCTAAACTCTTTAAATTCAAAGCCAACAAGTATCAAAACCAGGTTCTCTTCACTCTGGATTATACTAGGCATTTCCTCAAAGAAATATCCTTTAAACCTATATTCAATATCCAACATTATGTTCAAGTTAGTAGCAATACAGCAGTTCTTGCTTTTAAGCACTAAACATGTTAATAGTTTAGCTTTGCAGCACCTCTGTAATGTAAGCCAATTATCATCTTGTCCATGAAGGGAAAAGAGCGAGTGAGCATGTGACCAGTAAAAGGGCAATGAAAATTAGAAATCAGAAACTCTTTGCTCAGAATCTTTCACTTAATTCTCTTATTGTTAAATGAAAGCAAGTCGTGAACCAGGTTTGGTAACCTGCAAAACTATGACACAAATGCACTTTTTCCCTTTACTCATGTGGATTGAAATCTCTGCAATTGAATACCTCTTAATAATTATAGCAAATTAACTCAATACCATGGAAATTGATTCAGTGGGCTTGACCCAGCTCTCATTTTGAATGATCCTTGAAGTTATTGGCCTGGCATTCATGGCATGAAGCCAGAATGAGGATTTTGAGGCTTCATTTCCCCTTGTTTTCTGTCTTGTTTAGTCACTTATATCTGAATGAAGAAGTTAAAACACTACCATTTTGATTTGGCAGAGTTAGGTGTGTACTGTGCACAACTGAGTCGTCAATGTGACGAAACGATAAGTAAAGCCAACCGCACTTCCATGCATTAGAAGGTGCATCACAAGCAGGTCTAAGGAGGCGATACTTCCCCTTTATGCAGTATTGGTAAGACCGCACCTGGAGTACTGCATCCAGTTCTGGCCACTGCGCTTCAAGAGGGATGTGGATAACCTTGAGAGGGTCCAGAGGAGAGATACTGGTATGGTTAAGGGCCTACAGGTAAGATCCTGCAAGGAGAGATTGAGGAACCTGAATCTCTACAGCCTCTGCAAAAGAAGGCTGAGAGGGGATCTTGTGGCCATCTACAAATTTATCAGTGGGGAGGGCAGCAAGGAATATGGGATACTCTGTTTACCAGGGCACCCCTTGGGGTTACTAGGAAAAATGGCCGTAAACTGATAGAGGGCAGATTTAGATCAGACATTAGGAAAAAATTCTTTATAGTGAGGGTTGCCAAAATCTGGAATGGGCTTCCAAGGGAGATGGTGCTCTCCCTTACCTTGGAGGTCTTTAAGAGGAAACTAGGCAAGCACCTAGCTGGGGTCATCTGACCCCAGTGCTCTTCCCTGCCTAGGGCAGAGGGTCGGACTCAATGATCTACTGAGGTCCCTTCCAACCCCCCAAATCTATGAAATATATGAAACTGCAAGTGACTACACCAGCTGTAATCTATGGAGGGTGAAGCCCATAACATCCAGTCTTCATTCCACAGTGGACAACTGAGAGTTCAAGAACATCTAGAGAAGGACAAAAGCTGAGCCACGTAGACCTCTCTCCATCAGATAACATATGCAAAGGGAGCATCAGCACTAGCTAACACCTTTAATACAGCTTAGTTACCTGTACCTGTTTTTTTTTTTAATTTGACAGCTTTGGATACATAGTTCCTGTAACTCCTTATTTAACCTTACTGAAAAAAATCATTTTCATAAACCAGCTGTCTTGCATTCCTCACAAAAACAGCACACCCAACCTCATAAACATTTGCAGATGCAATTTCTTTTTAGAGCAAGATGTAAAATATATCCAGCAAAAGGGAAAACCTGCCCTTAAAAGATAAATTTGTAGGAAAACATACAACCATTTGCTTACTCAGAACTCATTTTCGTTCCAGCCCCTTTGAATAGAGTCCTTTTTAGTTTGATCATTCGCAGAACCAAATGTAGCCGTATTACCCATTGTTCTCCATCAGAGACATCTGGAATTTAAATTGTATGATCTCCACCTCTATTCTAAACATGAAAGTGTTAAGATTGGTGTGAAAAACGGTTTAAAAGTTTTTTTTAAGTTCCTTGGACTTAAGTTCCTCAAGTTCTTGAGTGATTAAGGTAGTAAACTTAAATGTTTCTGGGTTTAGGGCTAGGGACAGACATTCAAAAAGCTGGACCCTGAACTGATTCAACCTTTGCAGGTTAGTCTAACCTGCCTAGGCTGAACCAGTTTGTAACAGGACAAACATTTGCTCTGGACTGAGGCAATGCAGGCACATGCCTGCAGTTACTCAGGCCAGGCACTGGGGGGCACTAGAGCAGGCCCTCAGCTGCAGGGAAACTGGGAGGAAATGTTGCTAGTCTGGGCTGAACTGGCCAGGGAGGTGTTTAATTCCCCCTCTCTATCCCACTGGCAGGGACCCAAGATGGGTCTGTCAAGTGCTCCCTCCTCGCTGCTGCAGCAGCCTGCACCATGGCCCCTGCAGCAGAGTGGGGCAGGGAGGAGAGTTAGTCTTCCCTCTACTGAGCTGGGTCTGCCCACCCTCACTGCTGTGCTCCATTCCTCCTCCCAGGGGCCCTGTGCCCCCGCCCTGCTGCTGCAGCGGGAGGGGGCAGGGCCCTTGATGGGGACAGCAGCCCCTGTCATAATGTGGGGGAGTGAGCCCCTTCCCGGCAGGGGCACTGCGCTGCGGGGTCAGTAGAGCTGTGGCAGCACCAGGGTCCAAAATGGGCGAGAGTCCTGCAAGCCCCCTGCAGTGCTGCCACACTCCTCAGCAGCTCTGCCAGCCTCACAGAGTGGCCCCTGCCAGGAAGGGGCTCGCGCACTGGGAAGCAGTGATGGGCTGCTGCCTGTCACTGTCACTCACTTGCCGCTCCAGCTGCTGGGCAGGGGTGGGGTCCAACCCCTATCTCTTGGTCTGTGCTTGGAGCAAGCCCCCTCTGGGCAGAAGGAGGCTTATTCAGCCACTGGCCCTGACCACAGGCCCAGCGGCGGCTGCGGCTGGGCCAGGCAGACCCCGATTTGAAGCCAGCAATCAGTGTCCAAATAAGCCTCTTCCTGCCCAGAGGGGGCTTGCCCTTAGCACAGAGAGGCCACCAGCATCGCAGTGGGGTCTGCCCAGCCTGGCCGCCACTCTATGTTCAGGCCAGCCCCATCCCAGCAGATGCTTATTTAGATGCTGGCCCAGAGCACAGAGCAGCAGCTGCAGCCAGGCTGGCCAGACCCTGCTTCAATACTGGTGGCTGCTCCATGCTTAAGGCAATCCTCCTCCGGGCAGGAAGAGGTTTATTTAGCCGCTGGCTGCTGGCACTGCATTGGGGTCTGCCCGGCACGGCCACAGCTGCCACTTGGCCTGTGCTCGGAGCCAGTGGCTGAATAGGCCTCTTCCACCCCCACCCAGCAGCTGGAGCAGTGAGTGAGTGACCATGATCGGACAGCAGGCCATCACCGTTTCCCAGAGCGCAGGCCCCTTCCCGGTGGGGGATAAAAGAGCTGCTGGGGAGCGCAGCAATGCTGCGGGGGCCTTGCAGGGCTCTGGCTGACTCTGGACCCCAGTGCTGCTGCATCTCTGATGGCCCCGCAGCGCAGCGCCCCTGCCGGAAAGGGGCTTGTTCCCCCACATTATGATAAGGGCTGCTGCCCCCAACAAGGGGCCTACCCCTTCCCGCTGCAGCAGCAGGGCGGGGGCATGGCTAGGCAGGGCCCCTGGGAGAGGGAAGGGAGTGCAGCAGTGAGAGTGGGCAGACCCAGGTTGGTAGAGGGAAGACTAACTCTCTTCCCTGCTCCCCTCTACCTCAGGGGCCATGGTGCCCACTGCTGCAGCAGCGAGGGAGAAGCGCCCAGCAGACCTGTCGGGTCTCTGCCAGTGGGATAGAGGGGGAATTAAACCCCTCCCTGGCCAGACCCCTTCCTGTCCCTGTTTTGGCTGTGGAGCAAAGGGGAGGAGCTAGCCTGGCTGGGCAGGAGCAGAGAGCTCAGCCCAGAGAGCATGCCGGGATGCTGGGGGTCTCTGGCTTATCTTTAACCAGAAAGGGAACTGGGACAGACATTGCATAAACTGGTTTGAGCCAAATCAGTTAAATCTGATACTACATTCAACCAGGTTGATCTCAAACCGGTTTCAGTCATTTTGAAACTGGTTTATGTGCACTGAACATCTGTTCTGTTACAGGTTTAAACCAGTTTCTGATCACTTAAACCGGTTCATGTGTAATGTCTGTCCCTAGCCTTGGTGTTAACAGTTTCAATTAGCCTTACTCGAGTGCCCTTGTAGTTCAGGAGAAAATGCAACTATCTTGCTTGAAGAAAGAGGACTGGTAGAAGGAAATGGGATGCTCTACCCTTAATAACCAAGTTAAGCACCAAAAATATATGGTGTGTGTCAGAGAAGCCAGTGTTGTGTCCTTTCATAAAGAGACAGCTCAGAAATTGACCTTCAAAGCTCGCCAGCTATCAGGGTGTGGAATTATTTACGCTGTGTGCATCACCTGCACAACCAAATATATGTAATTATGCTGCTCTGTATGATTACTGGTTCCATACCACACCCCATTATTGGGATTTTCATGTCTGTAACATGGCATGAGATCTTGTTCATTTCTGTAGTACCTCGCACAAAGGGGTGAATGAAATAGAGAAGGCAGACCCCTGATGAAGGCTCCTAGGCATTACTCCAGCATAGTCAAAGTACTTTGAACTAGTGCTATGCTATTCAATGTGATCTGGCTTTGAATCAGCTGGGAAAAGAGTGGGTCTTTTAAAAAAAAACATACACAGTAACAAGTCAGGTTTTTCCTCCTCTTGTTTATCTTTTTCAGGTTGTTTTTGTAGCCATTTTGCTCCACAGTCACTTGGAATGCAGAGAGCCTCTCCTCATCCCAATCCTGTCCCTGTACATGGGAGCACTTGTCCGATGTACCACCCTCTGCCTGGGTTACTACAGGAATATACATGATATTATTCCCGACAGAAGTGGACCTGAAATGGGGGTATGTCTGAGTGCCTGTTTCTACATGTAGAACAATCACATTGGCTTAGTATTTATGAGGACCTGACCTTCTCTGTTCCCTAGAAAGCATGTAACACTTGACACACACCAAGGTGCATGATACTAACTTCTACAAATACAGTGCATGTCATGCTACCCTCCACACTGGTATACTGTCTAGTCATGCTTACCAATACTTCTGTACTGAAAACATCCCTTCTAATCTTATATTATTATGCAAGAGAATCGCTGCAGCAATCCTACAAGGATGGCTTTGGAAACTGATGTTCTGAGAGGACTGTTCAAGGACTGTTCTCTTTATCTTGCTTTAATTCACAGATTTCCCCCACTACGAATCAATATCTTTATAATCGGTTGCCAGGACAAATTATGCAAATATCTCATTGATTAATTATTCTGGTTTAATAGGGCTATTAAGAATGCACAGCTGCCTTCAGCTCTGTTGCTAACATGGGAGATTGTAGTTTTATGCAGCATTCCTTTTTCAGGCTCTTACTGCTGAGAACTTTGGAATGTGGTGAGCTGACTGCTGGGTGGGAAAATGCTTCAGAGCTGTGCTTTTGGATCTGTTCTGTTTGGTTCAAAAGGGACTTTGTTTTTCTTATGCTGCAGGGAGAGGCTACAATAAGGAAGATGCTGAGTTTCTGGTGGCCTTTGGCATTAATTTTGGCAACTCAGCGAATCAGCAGGCCTATCGTCAACCTTTTTGTCTCCCGAGACCTGGGTGGCAGCTCTGCAGCCACAGAGGTATGACAATCCCTGATGAATGTGACACCACTCTATACAAGAGTCCTTTACAGTGGTACTGCATTTCACCAAAATAATTCATCATTGCTTATATTTGTTAAAGAAAGTAGTGTGCCCAGTCCCACTTCTACATACGGTATCTGCCAGTGTGTTTAGCCTCTCATCCATAAGAGCAAGGAAAGCAGCTTTAAGCCTATGCCTACAGTGCTAACTTCCAACAGCAGTGTTTAATCTTAACACTTCTTCCTTCCTAATCTTCCTTGGTTAGCTCTCCAGTACCAGACTCGTGAAAGTTGATCAGAATTTCCCATTGGATCTCTTGGTTCAAAGATCCCAAGTACAGAGATGGACATTAGGACCTCCAAAGCCTTTAGGATTGAAGTTTGGGACATCATTCTCCTCAGTTTTGCCTCATAGCTGTGTAAAGCAACATGAATTATTACCATGATGATACATTAACATTTTGCACAGCTGTGAGTGCCCAAACACAAGGGGATAAGGCAGGAGAGAATATGACATCGGGCTGGGGAGTACGTGCTCAGGTTGTTTCCCCTGAGGAAAAGCAAATTCCTCCTCAACTCTTTGCCAATCCCAATAGTTGTACAAGCACTTTCTAAACTCGGTGAGGTGAGGGTCCCATCCCAAATGTGTCCTGCTTGAACAGTTTAGGAGCAAGTGCAGTCTATGTGCCTCTGTTAAGTTCTCACTTTTTTAAGTGTTCATGGATCAGTAGGACAGGTCATATAGAGGCATCTGTTTTTTGTAATTAATAGCACTGACCTCTGCACTTCCTCCAGTGTAAGTCAGTGGAATTCAACCACTGATTTCAGGAAGAGGAAGATTGGCCTCTTAGGTGAATAGGAGAAAATCCCAGGAAACTAAAAAAGAAAGGCACACTTGAAAAATGAGGTGTATATAGTTAATATATAACACTTCGCTCAGCAATATTAATTTGGCCCTGTTGCACATGTGAGAAATTCCACTGGCTGCATGTATGTACGTGGTTGGAGGAATGGAATGTAACATGATAATATGGTAAGATGTTCAGGTTAGGGACCTATGGGTCCCTGCATTTTTACTGTTCCTGGTACATGGAAAAAATGTGCCAACATGAGTTTTCTGACACTATTTTTGCTTTCTACACTTACGTTAGCTATAACACATTGCCATTTCACAAGTGCATCTTTTTGCATTTCTTTACTATGACCATAACTGCAAATGTAAATGTAAAACTGGTAGATGGTTGGGCCTTTTCCTTTAAGCACCATTGTCACACTTCAGTTCTGATTCTAGTTTAAGAAAGTATTGATTCTGAAAGGGGAATGGCTTGTAACAGCCTTGTATATGACAGGTTTTCAAATTTCCCTTAATTTTGCTGCCAGCCCCTTTCAGTATTTGAATGGAAAGGACAGGCTGTATGAAAGGGCATAGTGTGTGAGCACATTTATGAGTCTGGTAGGCCGCAGGCTGTTATTGATTCCTGTTTGTTCTTACTGGGAATGTCAACTTGGGTGGATGGATGGGCATGTTTTCCCACCAAATACTTATGCTCACATCTCATGTGTTTTAGAAAGTATGAGAGTCATTGCTTGTACATTAGGACCCCACCAATCTAGGGGAGAAGAGCCAGGAATATTACTAAAGACTGAAGTTCTCTATTACTATCTCCCCTGGGGGGAATGTTATACCTATAAAAAGTGATGAACAATGTTTTAAAAGGCAAGAAAAATAGCTTATGACAGCTCTGCATTATTGCTGGGCTCTAGTAAAATTGAAATACTTCCATAATTCTGTTCAGTTGAATCAGTTTTCATGTAAAAAGAAATTCTACTGAAGCTAAAATAAAGAATGAAAAAAACCCAGATTCCATGCAAGTGAAACAATGGTAACTAAAAATGCCACTTCTGTTTAGACTAAACAATTAGAGAAGAAAAACATTTCCCCCCAGTTTTCCAGTTTGTGTCATGCATTTGACAGTACCTTTTAGAAGAAATAACACTGACTAGTTTTGCGCTCCACTTCCTCCATTTGTGTAGGTCTTTAATCCAACAAGGAAGGAGGAACAGTTTTATTTTATAATAGGCAAATGTAATTGGATAACTGGAAAAAGTAGCCCAGGAGGGCTAAACAGCAGTCAGGGGGTTTGAAGAGATTTTAAAGTTCTTTTCTTCCGAAGTTGATGATATTTCTAGTGAGAGGTGTGCTTTCAAGGTGATTTCTGTGATAGTGACAGGGAGCAGGTCCCATATTTCTTGTGTACCCAGGGGGTGTTTCATTAGTCCAGGTAACAAAGGATTAACCCCTCAGCCCTGTGCTTAATCTTTTCACAAACCAAAATATAAAGAGACCAAAACCCCCAATGTTTCTCTTCCATTGGGGATCTTGATGCATATACATTCAGTTGAATCATAGCTAGGTGATAACAGAAAAGATGAGAAAAGGAGAAGACAATAAAAAAGCTCCCTAAACCACCTTTCCCAGCTATAACAGGAATATGGCAGTTGAAAAGGGTAAGACATAAGGGGTAGATATCTTTACTACCCAATGAGGCCAACACTTCCCAGGTCTATTTTGGACAACTTAACCAGCCTTCATAGAGAATAGCAATTTTAGTGTTCCAAACCAGGGGTGGGGTAGAGGGGTGATTCGGGGATGTGTAACTTGGTTTCTTGCTTACAAAAAAATAACATGTATTAGCAGGACAGAGCAATCTTAAAATTGTTGAGATGTTAATATTTTTACTTCCTTTATGTAAATTGCATTTAAGAGTACTTGAGGACCTAGTTTACGTAATAAGCTTTTTCTTGTGCTGGAAACAGTGATCTGCGATTATTTTTGTCTGATTCCAGTTGATTAGTAGTCACAAGCAGCATTTTCTTTGTCTCTAGGGTCCTTATAGCCCAGAACAGCCAATCTGACATCCAAAATGAGTCACAGTCTGCAGGGCTGCAATTACATTGCTGCAGTTCATCTTTTGCAATTAAATTATTTTGTTTTTAAATTGTTTTACTTATGAATAATCAAGACAAATGAAGATTGTGAACTATAATAAAAAAGCAGTAGGTTCTTACACAGTACAGTATTTTAAATCTCAATAGATTGAGTAATTCATGAGAAAGATGGGAAGAAAGAAGAGAGAGACCCTGAGAGAATGATGAGTAAATAACAGAACAGAAAGCTAAATTTAGTCAGAATACCAGTGAAAAAGTAAAACCAGAGAGCTAAGTCATATATTTTCACTGCTCCTGAGTTTGCAATGCATTGTAGAATAACTGCTGCTAAGATGTTTTTCTCCTAATGCAAGGACTTTCCTTTTGTTTGATCAGAGTGAAGGCAGGGAATATAGAAGCATTAACTTAAAATTGTGTAAAAGATTAGTTTATCTAAGCTGCCTGAAGATTTGAACTTCTCATGTTCCCTTTTCTCCTGCTATAGGCTGTGGCAATTCTGACAGCTACATACCCTGTGGGACATATGCCATATGGCTGGTTGACAGAAATTAGAGCAGTCTACCCTGCATTTGACAAGGTGAGTGCTTGCATATATGACTGCAGTAAATACTTTGCAACGTGATTCCACCACTGTGGATATTTTGGACTTGATTTTGCTCTGCTTTACACTGCTATAAATGAGGAATAACTTCAGTGAAGAAAGTGTGAGAGGAAAGGACTTTGATATCCTGTAATGTTTGTGGCCATTCCTATTGTTAAATAATAAAAGAAGTGTAGATTAGGCCATGTTGAATTCATGGATGGACCTAGCTTTTTGTTCTTTACTTTTATTTTTGGTATTTATAATATAAAATTGTATCTCTTTCTAGGTTTCTTACAGACTGATCCTAAATTCTTAATTGACACTAATTGTGTCTTTCACTAATTTCAAGCATTCTTTTACTTATAATTTTAACCTGAACTCTTAACTTCCTGAGGTTAAGTCTTTAATCTTTACTTACTGTCCTGAAACTAAGATTAAGTACTTAATATAGCTATTTCTCTAATGAAGAATATTTTCACAAAATAGCCCATAGCAGAAATGCCCATACTTCAGCTGCAAAAACAGCCTGCTGCCTTGATGCTACAATCAGACCGAGTTAAGTCATTGTGCTGCTATTAATGTCACAAAGATCATTTAATAGGTTAAGATTGGCACACATACATTATTACCATGTTACTAAACTAACTGATTTGGCTAACTAAGGATATTCATTGGGGTTCATCAAATGACAAGGATATTGGAGTTGCTCTTGGAATTGACTTGAAGAGAGAAACAAAAACAGTGCAGCTGTGCAGCTCCACCTTTTTCTCCAGCTTAACAGTAATAATTGCCTAATTACTTTAATCAACACTTGGTTTACACAGTGGACAAGAGCCATGGTGCTAAACCTCTGGCCTACGGGCCAGATCTGGCCTATGAAGCCATGTCATCTGCTACCCATGGGTCCAGAAATTTGGCAGTGGTAGCAGCACTAATGCTCCCCTGATGCCAAATTTCTGGACCTGTGGGAAACCCTATGGCCTGGACGACATGGCCCTGCATCCTAGATCACGTCATCACATGGGGTCACTCCATGGCTGGATTTGACATGCAGGGTGGGACCAGTGCATGACCAGATGCAGCATGTAGGCTTGTGCCAGCACAGGCTTGGTTCAGTATGTGGCTGGATCCAGCTGGTGAAATCAGGCCATGCATGGGGACAAGCTGGTGAACCAGATCGCACCTGCAAACCAACCCCCTGAACCAACCCTGTCCAGGATCCAACTTGCTAATTGTCCTCATGCCACTCCTCTGGCCCACAGAGGCAGAAGTTTAAGCACCACTAGACAAGAACATTCTCTGATTTGCACAATCAGAATCCCTCCATCTACTAACTGGTCATATTATAGCCTTGAATTTGTTTGTTGGCAAAATATAAACAAGATCCATTTGGTTTGATACTTATATAGGACATTTAATAAAAAAATGGAAAGGAAATCTGTTGTAACTTGTAAATAAACATATATGACTTCCTTGCCTTCTGAAATAGAACTGGGTTTTCCTAGAAGTCATTCTCCTGAAAAAAGATTGGACTATGAAAACTGGATGTCATCCCCTAGTTACAGTTGTATAGTTTTAATAAACTGGAGACCAGTGTGTGTTAAAAGAAGAAATGAAGAACCCGATTGCCTATTTATAGAGCCCAGAATTTTTTCAGTAAAATGTCATTTGTAAGTAACAATAATGAATAGAGAGTCTCTACTTCCAGGTCCAAAGTCTACTCCTAGCAAAGTTGGACCAGCAGTTCTTAGGCAGCATGTTATATTAACCACAATAGAATTGGGCCTTGTCCATAATGAACTTGTCTTCTCACAAAAACACCTTTACTCTCATGCTAGTTTATCTCCTAGCCTTGGAAGCAGCAGTTCAGGGTAAAGCAAGCATGATCTGCCACTGCCTGCACGTGGTATCGAGAGGAACAAAATGATGGGAGAAAGGAGTTGAGCTGAGATGAGAATCAGACAGCTATGATCTAATAGCAGGGTAAAACCAAAGTGGAGGTTTTAGGCATACATTTGAAGACAAGTTGGCATGAAATATACTGAATATAGAGACACATCTATAAGGAGTTTCTCAGCTTTCTGACTGAATGTGTGTGGCAGCAATATAACAAATATCAGCAGAAATGCACAGTATTTTTCTTGGGTCTGTTGTGAAGACTTTGATCCCTGTTCACACATCACTCACCCTAATCACAGCTGTTAGAAATGATGGTTTCTTTAGTTTAAGCTTCCTCAAACAAATCCAAGCAGAACATCTACTTATTTACAATCCTCCTTCCACTTTAATTTTCAGACTTTACGATAGGATGCAAGTGGCTTGTGTGCAGCAACCAATCTTTTTACCAGAATTACAGTGCTTGAAAGAATCTAATTAGTAGGGCTGTGTGAAGCTTCAGTTGCTGATTTGATTTGGCAGAGATTCGGCTCGATTCAGTGGCCAAATATCCGAACTGAATCAGGAAACCCTTTAAATTTCTCCAAATCAAATCGGAACTGTCCGAATCGATTCAGAAAGATTCAACGATTTGGACATACACACAGCTTTAAATGTTTTTTCTACATACCTCAAGGTACCAGGCGGCTCGTGAATGCTGAGATGCTGCGGCGGATGGAGCATCCCGCAGGAGCGTGGTGGGGTCCCCAGCACGCTCGGCAGCAGACCCGTAAGTGGACCAGAAGAACTTCCGGTCCACTTTCGGGTCTGCCAGGGAGTGTGCGGGGGACCAGTGCTCGGTGACTGATGCCTCCTGGGTTTGGGGGGGGCACCCGGGGTCCCCCTGTGGCCGATCGCTGAGCTGTGGGGGAAGCGCCATGCACTCAGTGGCAGACCTAGAAGTGGACCAGACATATTTCCGGACCACTTCCAGGTTCGTCACCGAGCACGCAGGGAGCATTGCAGCACGAGCATTGCAGTAGAAGCTAAGGGAAGTTGTTGGTACTCCAACATATGAGATGCACCATGAATTGCAGCATTTGCTGAGTGGGGGGCACAAAACATTTGGTTAATGAAGTGACTTTGTCAGGTAATTCACTTATTCTGTTCTGGCAAGGAAAAGGGTGCTACTGGACCTCCTCCTCTAACTCTTCTTCTGTGTGGTGCTCTGCTGTAAGAACTCAGCAGAGTCAGGGTTGGGAGGAATGAAGAGGTAGGGAGTAAGAAATTGCAGCAGGGCTTGATTATATGAAGAAAAGGATAGAATGTTAGCAGCAGTAAGGCAGAAGCAAAAGCCCCTTGCCTTCCCCACCTGGTCCTTATGCCCTATTTTTATTTAATGCCTGCTTGATGCACCTTGTAAATGAAAAGGCTCTGTTCTGTAACATACCGAACTTTAACTGAAAAATGCACACTAACAGACTCCCACGCACATTACAGCCTTTTATATTATATCAGAAAACTCTGACAATGGGTTATTTCTCTATAATTAGATTTACAAAATGTAAACTGATGTTGACAATTCTTGTAGAGAGATACAAGCTCCACCAGTTATCAGAGCATAGGGTACACAGCCATTTGAGATTCTTATTGGCTTTCGTACAAAGAAGGCAAGTGGTTCCATATATCTTAGTTCAAATAGATATTTAGGTATCACATACTAATTTGGGTGCCATAAGTTTTTACATTTCAAAATGGAGGTCATGGTCTATCTGTGCAAAGGCTAATGGAATTGCATACTTCTCAACTGTTCCACATCCTTCTCCTCCATTGCCCCTTACCCCAGACAGGTTTGAGTTTCTGCTTTCCTAGCAACTGTAGCCAGCAGTCACAATCATGGGACTGCTACTTCAATATTTCTCTGTTGGAACTTTATCAAGGTTAAGTAAATATTGTACAACACCTCATAGCAGCATTGTTATCACTTTTGGCACTTACCCACATTTCTCAAATGGCCTACTGTGAACTCCAATAAGAATTCTGCAGCCACCGTGCTAGGGGTGCAATCCTACAAATTTGCTATGCCTTGTATGAAAGCTCATTTAAATTGGCTGTCATTCTTTGCCAAGTCATAATTTGTAACCTTCCATTTTTGAGGTGTTTGTTAGGTTTTTTTTAAATATATTGCACACACTATTACTATGTGAGTGAAGACTCCATGATCGGGATGGAACATTTAATTATTCTCATTTTTTGCTGTTCTTCAGACTGAATTAGCAAAGCCATGTGTTCAAAGAGCCATGTGTTCAAAGAGATTGAGTCAGTCATGAATAAGGATTGGTTGCATTGTATCACTTTGTGATGACTGAGTATGACCATGCTCATTTTTCCTATCTGTGACAGGGTCCTCTAAGCTTTAAACCTGGGTCACCAATTCACATAGGCATCATTTACAAAAAACTACTGGCACTCTTAAATATTGAAATATGTTACTCGTTGGCAAACTAAGGAGATTAGTGAGTTTTGAGTGGCTATTTAGACAATGATTGTCAGTTTATGTGGAAAATATTCTGCAGCTTGTGCAAGTGTTCTATTTGGAAGATAGATTTAAAAAACAAAAACAAATAAACCCCACCCAGGCTTGCACATGGACAAATCCTACTTACGACCCTGGTGCTTTGGTTCAACAGCAGTCTGGAGCCAAGTTAATGCTTTTTATCTTTCTCTCTCAACCTAGAATAACCCCAGCAATAAAATGGTGAACACCAGCAGCACAGTAACAGCAACGCATATCAAGAAGTTCACATTTGTCTGCATGGCACTGTCCTTAACGGTAAGAAGCCACGCATCACCTCTGTAGGTTTTATTTAAAACAAAAAATTATGCTTACATACGATGCTAGAAATGCTGGATTCAGATCACCAGGATTTTTATTTTCCTATGAAGACATATCAGGGTGAAATTACACAGTATACTTAAGCCATACTACATCTGTAGAATGTTAAGGAATGTTAAAGTTATAACATGCTGTAACTATTTACACATTAAGGGTTAATACCATTTCTTACCTGTATAGTAGCTCTGACTTGCCATTAGAAGAATGGTGAGCAGGGGTGTAGCTAGGCACAACACTGTCTGGGCTCTATCCCTACTCTGCCTGGGAGTAGGTGAGAGCAGTTCTTCCTGGGATGCTGGAGAACTGCAAATTGCTCATTTTATCTGCATGGAGCAGACTGAAGTTACTCCAACACAAGCTAGGTAGCACAGTCTAGAGTTAACCTCACCTGAAGTGGCATAACTTTGAGGCCCTCAAAGAAAGTTTAGCATTAGTTAATAAGGTTTAATGTGCAGACACTCGCATTTTAAGTTCCCTAAGTGTAGTATATAAATTCACCTAAGTTTTGTTTTCTGGAGGAGCATGTAGGGAGATGAAATTGGGGCCAAGGTGTTCCCCTCCTTGGGTTGAGGAAATCAGAGGAGAGTAACTTAAATCAAGTGCTTACCAGACCTCCTATATTACCAGGGTCAACATGTTTTTTTTCTTGATGCTCTAAGCAGCCTGATAGCACTTACACTTCATATTTTAGATGTTTCTCCGGAGATGGAGAGATAGCAAAGAGACCTGCCTTTCTTCAGAATGAGACTTCTGAGATAGCAACTCATCGGGAACATTTGGGGTTGGGTTTGTTCACAGCAGGATGATAGTTAATCCAGGACATACATAATTAGCTTGAATGACAGCTTGTTTACTGGGTGAAGCTATTGTGAAATAAGCTAATATGTGGATTTAAATTAGCAACAGTTATTCCACACCGTCTCCCCAGGTGGCCATTCTTTTATTCCACCCTGAAAATACCTTTTTTTGGGTCAGTTTAATTCATGCCCAGAGTGGACTAGTAAACACACTGGGCAAGGAATAAGAATGCTATTCTGGGTTTTGTAGATACATCTCAAGACAGAGACCAAATTTTGCAATCCCTCTTAGTCTTGTCTGTGAGATCTAACTTAAAATCTGAGTTACCCTAGGGAAAATGAGTTACTTTCTCTTTACTGTACAAAAAGGGAGGTGAATGCAAATTGGGAGGAACAAATACAGAATACTTTAGGGTGTCATTTACATAAGATATTCTGCTTACACCATTTTGTCTTCCTAAAAAAGTACACAAAGGTATGTTGGTAAATTTTTCACAACACTAGCAAAGAAAGCAAAACTCACCTTCTACTGTGTACTGTACACTGGTCCTCAATATGTAGTGCAGCTCACTTATTTCTGTTCATGCCTTTGAAAATGCAAAGCAATACAAAGCTGTTAAAATCTAACAAAAGGGAACCTGTCTGTACAATCCTGTCCACTGTGCATTGCAGCCCATACAACTCTGAGGCATGGAAAAATAAGGAGCATGGTGGGAAAATTACATTTTAAAAAAAACATCCAATTGTTTGTGTCTTATTATTTACAAGACAGCAAAAAAGATCACACTGTTCCGTTAGGACAGGGGTGGGCAATTATTTCGGGTGGAGGGCCACTTACCAAGTTTTGGCAAGCTGTTAAGGGCCGCATGGGTAGCCCCACCCCTTGATGGGTGCCCCACACCCTGGTCGCCATCTTGTGACCGGAAGTCCCTGCCCCTAGCCTCTGACCTTTGCAACCAGAAGTCCCTCCCCTTGCCCCCGGAAGTGCTCCTTTCATCAAGGGGTTTTGCAATCTCAGAACCAGAAAAATACCAAATTATATTCTTAAAAGCGAACATGTACAGCATGCATTAATTTGATTTCAAAAAATATTTTTACCCTGATTTACATGCGTTTGTGCAGTGTACATAGAGGTGATTGCACAATAGCTTAAAATGAAGCCTTACTTGTTTATGTTGCGGGAGTGGGTATAGGTTTGTGGGGGGCTGTGGGTATGTGGGGTGAGGAAGCATGTGAATGTGTGTGTAGATATATGGGAGATAGATATAACTAGGAGACAGTGGTGTTGATGCCTACATGGTCAGATGGGTCACTAACTGGCTGGAGGACCAGAGGGTGGTGGACGGGTCTTATTCGACCTGGAGGGATGTGGGCAGTGGGGTTCCCCAGGGCTCGGTCCTCAGGCCCGCACTATTCAACATAATCAGTGACTTGGGCGAGGGGGTAGGAAGCACCCTGTTCAAGTTCGCAGATGACACTAAGATGTGGGGTGAAGTGGGTACGCTAGTAGGAAGGAACAGACTGCAAGCGGATCTAGACAGGTTACAGGGGTGGACTGATGAGAACAGGATGGGGTTCAACACTGACAAGTGCAGGGTAATGCACCTGGGGAGGAGGAACCAGCAGCACACCTACAGGCTGGGGAACTCCCTTCTCGCCAGTGTCGAGACAGAAAAGGATCTTGGAGTCATCATTGATGCCACAATGAACATGGGCCAACAAAGTGGGGACGCGGTCAGGAAGGCCAACCATACGTTGTCGTGCATCCACAGATGCATCTCAAGCAGGTCCAAGGAGGTGATCCTCCCCCTCTATGTGGCACTGGTCAGGCCGCAGCTGGAGTACTGCATCCAGTTCTGGGCGCCGCACTTCAGGAGGGATGTGGCCAATATGGAGAGGGTCCAAAGGAGGGCCACCTGCATGATCAGGGATCAGCAGGGCAGGCCCTACGAGGAGAGACTGAGGGACCTGAACCTGTTCAGCCTCCAAAAGAGAAGGCTGAGAGGGGATCTAGTGGCAGTCTACAAACTAGTCAAGGGGGACCAGCAGGCATTGGGAGAGTCCCTGTTCCCCTGAGCACTCCTGGGAGTTACAAGAAACAATGGACACAAGCTAGCAGAGGGTAGTTTCAGGCTAGACATTAGGAGGCACTATCTCACTGTCAGGGCGGCTAGGACCTGGAACCAACTTCCAAAAGAAGTGGTGCTGGCTCCTACCCTGGGGTTCTTTAAAAAAAGGCTGGACGAACATCTGGCCAGGGTCGTTTGACCCCAGTACTCTTTCCTGCCACAGCAGGGGGTCAGACTAGATGATCTCCTCAGATCCCTTCCGACCCTATGAAACTACGAAACTAAGACTTTTTTGCATCACACCTGACTGGTAGGTGCCAGGTAACTTTTGCATCCCCAGACATCCTGGGGCTCTGACATCAGAATTTCATGACTTAAAGCCTGCTGGCCAAAATTCACATAAAGAACTGCATAGCTGGAGTTAGCAGAATAGCAAAGAGGTTGGGATTTTCTTTTCCAGATTAGCTGGGAGTGACAGGGATAAAATAGGAATCAAAACTGTTGCAGCCAGCTGCATATCTGTCTAGCTGCATACCCCCTCCTTTCTTTTCTGCTGGCACAGGTTTTGTGGCTGTGCATGAATGTAGCAAAATGCTGAATCACAGAAGATACGTAGATAGCTTGTTTGGAGTCAGCACTTGTTGCTCTGGATGACTCCAGTTTATTATTGCTCTCTCTAGAATCCGAATGGACTGAGAATCACGTGAGAAGAGGGCTGAGTGTTGGGTTTTCATAGGATTTTTTAACATACTGCTCTATGGAAACAGTTCCTGCTAAGTAATGGAACTATCACCCTCAGAAAGTAAGTGATCAGAGCAGGAGCCTGTCTGGCAATTGGGCTGCAAGGCCTGAGCTAGTTATAGACAAAGCTGTACTTGATCAATTTGATTCTCCTAGGGTGTGGACACAGGCCACACACTCCTTCATCTAGGATTGTGTAGTAGGAGCAGGTTTGCTGCATTTGAATCTTTCTCAGCTCATTCATACATAGCACGTAGAGCAGGGGTGGGCAGTTATTTTGGCTGGAGGACCACTTAACAAGTTTTGGTGAGCTGTCAAGGGCCACACACACAAAATCTTTTAGAAGATAATTTTAACAAATTATAGATAAAAACAAATCATATCCCGCGGAGCCTCTAAAAATTTTGAAAATTAATATTTCTCTGCCCTTGGTTCCTGTCAAAAATGACAGGAACCAAGAGCTGTAGGACCCAGGGGAAGCCTGGTGGGCTCCCACAACAGCAGGGCCCATCCGGCCCCACCCCCCAGCCAGTAGCCCAATGTGGGGCTTCCGGCCTGGGAGCACGCGGCTGCCCTGGTGGCGCCGGAACCTCAAGTAAGGGGTAAGGGTTGGGGAGGACACAAGGCGGGGAAGGAGCCTAGGGAAATGTGGCCTGGGGAAAAGCTGAGCTGGGGGGGGGGGGAGCCCCGCTCCCGCCCCCCCGCTTGCCGCACTGGGCAGTGTTTGCCACCGCTGCCTCTGTGCTGCCCAGCGCATGAGCTCCAGGCAGGCAGCAGCAGCCAACACTGCCCAGCGTGGCAAGCGGGGGGGCTGCAGCTACTGCCACTGCGCCCAGCTCTGACAGGCAAACCCAGAGCCAGCATGAGGTCCAGGCTGGCAGCAAGGCCAGGTTACAAGCTGGTGCTGAGCACGGGGAAAAGTGGCCCCTCGCTCGCCCTGTGGCCGGCGCCCCGCACTGCAGCTGTTTGCAGCCTGTGTGGGGCTGGCTGTGCCTGCTCCCGACAGGCGTTGCGTGGGATGTGAGTGCCTGCAGCAGGGAGCACCAGCCATGGGGCAGGTGAGGGGCCACTTTTCCGCGTGCTCAGCACCAGCTTCTTCCCTGCTGGTGAGCTGGGGGTCGGGGCTGTGCGCTGCACCCCGCCTGTACTGCAGGACTGGGGGCCACTGGGAGTAAGTGGGCAGGGAGCCAGTGGAAGCATGGGGCCTGCACTGGTGTCCCAGGGCCAGCGCTGGTGGGGGCCCGAGCAGGGCGGCAGGGGTACAGGGTCCTGGTCAGCAGGGGCTCTATGGAGCCAGGCCAGCTCCCCCCTCTCCCTGCTGGTGCAGTCC